TGACTTCCTGGTTCATAGGTCAACACTCAACCACTGAGCCTCTGTGGCCAGGCAGTAGATCTATTGTTAATGGGAATATTGGAAGCCAAAGCTACAATATTGATAGGTTCGGGTCCAGAACTTAAAAGCTGTTAGAGCACTTGCTACTGAATTCTATGACTCCTGTGCTAGGAAAAATTGGTCACAGAATGGGTTAGATTTGACAGTAGGTCACCCAACAATCTCAAACAAATTTCCATGCAATGAGGTTACAAAACACCACACAACCCTGAACCTACTGGCACATTCCTCTTAAGTATTAATTTGTATCCTAGAGACTCAAGGTTTAGCCAAAGAAATGCAATCCTCAAATTTCAAATAACTGATTGCTACAATTCCTCCTCATTTTGTATCTGAGAACTGTGGTCTTAGAAGCCATACATATCTACAAAAATGGCAAATGACAACCTGCAATCACAATGGCCATTATGGGAAATGTTCTAATCAGACAAGATTGTTAATTTAAGAAGTGCACTTGAAAGCAAGAACTCCTAAATCAAACAAACAGAATGGAATACCTATTTTAATTGGCATGCGGAAACCTCCAAAAAATTCCAAAGTCATTTCATTGAATGATTCATTGTAAAAGTCTAATGAAAAATTAAAGACAAAAGAGATACCTCAACAAAAGACTGATGTGACTACTGCTACTCCCCTCTATTCTCCTTTACCTGAGTACTCAGTCTACTAATTCTCTATCTGGGTTGCCTTTTCCCTTGAAAGAGGCTGCAAGATCCTAAACAAAAGTTGGCCAAGTTAGTGGCCTTTCAGATACCCCCATATTAGTTTCTTCCAGGGTTGATGGGACTCTGACAAACTACTAGTTTTTCTCTTAAAGAGCCAAGGGGAAAATTAAAATTCATGGAAAACCTTGCCAAATTCTAGTACATATTTAGGCTCCACTCTACTTTACAGCATACTCGCTCTGGAGCCTGTAGATGCGACCCTGGGAAAAATGGGCAGAAACCAGCAAAGGGTGAGAATCCTTTCCAGAGTCATGAGAGGAAGGTAAAGTTTCACATTGTCCCTTTCTTTTCAACTCCAGACCCACTGGTTATTGATCTTATTTCTCTCTGGGATAGCTATTACATCCTACTTGTATCGTTTTGTGTCCTGAGAACTTGGCTTGGGTGTCCCCAGAACTCTGCTGGACAGAAATGTGGGTTGCACTCCATTTGCGCCCTACAGACTGTTGCAAACTCTAAGGGACATTTTCTTTCTTTGGGAGTGACTCTCTGACTTGGGAAGCTAGTATCTTTTGCACCTCTTTGTGGATGCCTTTTTCATCTGAGGTCATTCAACACTGCTAGGAATATTTACTGTTTGTCCCAGCTGCAACTTGACAGATACTTAAAATGATTGTTAAGGTTGTTCTATGGTCAGAAGTTGGCCAAATCAGAAGCTGATATTCAGAAGAACTTTATAAAGGCCTTCTCCCCTAAGCTAAAATGAAACTAGGTATATTCTCAGAGGGAAAGAAAACCAATCCAAAGGCAAACAGCTCTAAATCTAGAACATAGGAATCTTTTTATTTTTAAATCCTAGTTGAAGATCTCCCTGATAAAAAGAAGCCAATTGAAAATAATGTAGTTGGATGGGTGTGTCAGCCCCTTGATGTCATTCAGGTTACCACCAATTCTTAATTTTTTAAAAAAATATTTTTATTGATTTCAGAGAGGAAAGGAGAAGGAGAGAAAGATAGAAACATCAATGATGAGAGAGAATCACTGATTGGCTGCCCCCTGCACACCCCAACTGGGGATTAAGCTGCAACCTGGGCCTGTGCCCAGACCAGGAATCAAACCGTGACCCCCTGGTTCATAGGTTGGCACTCAACCACTGACCCACGCTGGCCATGTGATGAGAGAGAATCACTGATTGGCTGCCTCCTCCACACCCCAACTGGGGATTAAGCTGCAACCTGGGCATGTGCCCAGACCAGGAATCAAACCGTGACCCCCTGGTTCATAGGTTGGCACTCAACCACTGAGCCATGCTGGCCATTTGCCACCAATTCTTTGAGGAATTGTAAAGACTCAATTTAGGCAGAACAGTTTCTAAGAGCAGCAATACAGCTCTAAGAGCAATTCAAAGCCCACCTTTTCTATTTATCTCAAAAGGCTTTCAGGTACTGTAAAAGATCCTGACTTAGGGAACAGAAGTTCTTGTTGAAACTTACATTCTTTCTGTGTGCCTTTTGAGAGGCCAATTTTCAACCAGGTATTCTTTAGGAACCAAGAAAATTCTTATCAAAAGGGGGAAAAAGTCTATTTGAAAACCAGGTCTATGAAAAATCTTTGCTACAAATACTAGTAAAATGTCTGAGCAGATAACCTGAATTTATTCTATCCTACAGAATAAGTTGTGTCCAATAGTTATGGCTAAAATTTTAAAACAAAAGCCAGAAGATTTTTTTTGCATCTGTATGTTTATGTATGTATTTACAGCTGTGTGATTGTTTTCTACCTCCAGATTGTATTGGCAAAATTGATTAGTAAAGAACTCTATTTCATTGACTGAAAGACAAACGAGCACTGTGTGAATGAAGTTTACTCTCAGATACATAAAAATTAACCCAAATGTTTTCCAAGTTCCTGTGACCTAGGATAATCTTCAGTAAATAAATCTAGTTTAAGTTTGTTTTAATTAAAATAGGCATGTCTTTAGAACTATAAGTATTAGATATGCTTTTATTCTACCTAGGTTTAACAAAAGTCAAATAAATTCATGTTATCTGTTACAGAATGACCTTAAAAATATAACAAGATGATGTTTAGCTATTTAGTGTCTCATGATGTTTTTATGAGTAATCTAAATATATATAATTGTTAAGAACAAGTAAATTCAATAGATGTAAAAAGGATGAAAGTTTATAAAGAACTTTTCAACAATAATTACTCTTTATGATATGCCTACTTAGAAATTTCAAAATCTTTCTGAGGTAAGTTATATGATGGATAATTATTTAACATCTAGATTATTTACAAGATAAAATTTTGAAACATTAACTATTGAACATAGGTTTATTCACTTTTGATACCATTTTACAGAGGAATAAAGATATGTGGGCCTATTAGTAATTATGTTTTATGCCACACTGAAAGAGTTACTATGAGAAAGACTGTATATACTTCTAGAGATTATGAAATGTATTTATAAAAGTCTAGCAGTCCATGGTTGCTTAAGTATTAATTTTCATTAGGAATTAATGATTCTAGGGTTAATAATTCTAATCAATACATGTAATTAACTAGAAATGATAAGGGTGACTGAATACAAAGTTTTATAAAGAAAAGTTGTAGAAGGTTTGGAGAAAAGGAATCAGGAAAGGAGTTTTATGTGTTGTCAAGCTGGCTAAGACTGAAATTTCTTTGTCTTCTTAATATTTTAAGAGCAAAAGTACACGAGTACAAAATTAAAATTTTGGGGGAGGCAGATCCAAGTTGGCATAGGTGGACTCTGAGCTCACTGAATGCATTGAATGTACATCTATCTTTAGAGCAAATCCTCCAGAGAGACACTGTGAACCAAGTGAAGAACAGCTTCTGTACAACAAGAGAGGGACCAGATTGAGAAAGTTGGGGAACCACGAGGGCTCTTGGGGAGCTGAGGGAACAACCCAGGACTGGAGAAAATGGTGAGCACTATTGCTTACATTTCCCTTGCATGTGGATAGCAGGTGGGAGCTCCATCCATATTCTCTGGCCAACCTGCAGGGCACTGTAGCGCATCCCCAGCCACCCTTCCTGGAGCTAGATCCAGCAAAAACTGGAGGGTGCTGGAGCAGGCATACAAGGGGTCCCTTTACCCGGAGATTGTTCCAGCAGCTGCAGCAGGGCAATGCTTGCAGGATCACTGGGATGCATGCTAGCGGGGCTCCCCCCTCTGGAGAGAGTGCAGGGCTAGAAAGGCACTGCAGTACCCGCAGGCAGGACTGTCCTGTCCAGAGAAAGAGCAGAGACAGTGGAGCACTGCCCCTCCTGGAGAGAGTACAGAGTTGGCTAAAGCGTTGCCATAATTCATGCAGGACTGCCCTGTCCAGAGAGAGTGGAGACAGTGGGGCAATGCTACACATGTACCTGGGGCTGCCCAATTCAAGAACGTTTGGAGCTTTATTTAGACAGAAAATTAAGGAAATAATGGCCTTAAATGCCACTTTAGACCACTTTGACTTGATAGACATTTATAGAGCATTTCATCTAAAAACTGCATATTACACATTTTCTCAAGTGCACATGGAACATTTTTCAGAATATATCACATACTAACCTACAAAACAAGCCGCAGTAAGTCAAAGAAGAATGAAATTATATCAAGCATATTTTCTGAACACATTGCATGAAACTAGAAATCAATTACAGGAAGAAAACCCCACAAAATACATGGAGATTAAACAACATGCTTCTAAACAACCAATACGTCAAAAAGGAAATAAAAATCTACTGAAAGCACAATCTTGCATAATATATTGGATGCAGCAAAAATGGTTATAAGAGGAGAGTTTACAGCTATACAAGCCTACTTCAAGAAGCAGGAAAATCCTCAAGAAACTAGAAAAATAGGAATAAACAAAACCCAAAGTAAGTAAAAGGAAGAAAATAATAAAGATCAGAGTGGAAATAGAAAAATAGAAAAAAAATTAGTGAAACTAAGAACTGCTTCTTTAAAGGAATTAATCAATCTGCTAAGATGCTAGCAAGACTCATCAAGCAAAACAGAGAATAAAAGTAATCTCTCCTCTTTTATTTCCAATTTTAACCAACACCACAGAGATAAGGATCACTAAAGAATACTACGAACAAATATATGCTAACAAATTCAACAATCTAGAAGAAATGGATAAATTTCCAAAAACCTACAACCTTCCAAGACTTAAACTAGCAAAAATTCCAGGAAATCTCAACAGACCAATAACTAGCAATAAAATTGAAGCAATAATAAAAAAAACTCCCAAGAAACAAAAGCCCAGCACCAGATGGCTTCACAGATGAATTCTATCAAATCTTTAAAGAAGAGTTAGTACCTATCCTTTTCAACTTATTCCAAAAAATTGAAGTGGATGGAACATTTCCAAACTCATTCTATGAAGTCAGCATTACCCAGATACCCAAACCAGACAAAGATACTACAAAAAAAAGAATTACAGTTCAATATTGCTGATGAACACAGATGTCAAAATTTTTAACAAAATACTAGCAAACTGAATTCAACAATACATTAAAAGTATTATACACCACAATCAACCAGGAATTATGCCAGGGATACAAGGGTGGTTCAACTTCTGTAAAATAATTAATGTGATTCATCAAATCAACTAAACTAAGGATAACAAAACAGAAACAGACTCATAGATACAGAGAACAAACTGACAGTTGCCAGATTGGAGGAGGAAAGGGGATCGGGGTAAAGAAGGTGAATGGGATTAAGAAGTACAAATTGATAGTTACAAAATAGTCAAGGGATGTCAAGTACAGCACAGGAAGTATAGTCAACAATACTGTAATAAATATGTATGGTGCCAGGTGGGTACCAGATTTATCAGGGAGTTTACTTCGTAAATTAGATAAATGTCTAACCACTAATACTGTACACCTGAAGCTAATATAGAATATTGAATGCCCATTTTAATTGGAAAATGATTTTTATAATATTTCATTTTATTAAATTATCTCAATCAATGCAGAAAAATCATTTGAAAAAAATTCAATATCTATTTATGATAAAAACCTAAACAAAGTGGGTATGAAAGAACGTAACCTGAACTCGATAAAGGCTATATATGACAAGTAACAACTAACATCATACTCGGTGGCAAAAAGCTGAAAGCTTTTCCTCTAAGGTCAGGGAGAAGGATGCCCACCCTCACCACTATTATTCAATGTAGCGTTGGAAGTTTTTAGCCATAAAGAAATAAAAGGCACCCGAATTTGAAAGAAAGAAGTAAATCTGTTACTATATGCAGAAGACATGACACTTTACACAGAAAACCTCAAAATAATAGACTTTAGTAAAGTAGCGGGATATACAATTATATACAAAAATATGCCACATCCCAATACACTAGTAACAAACAATCAGAAGGAGAAATTAAGAAAACAATCCCATTTATGACTGCATCAAAAAGTATAAACTACCTAGGAATAAATTTAAACAAGCTGGTGAAAGGCCTGTACTCTGAAAACTGTAAGACATTGAAGAAAGAAATTGAGTAGAACAGGAAAAAACAGAAGTATATTCCGTGCTCATGGCTTGGAAGGATTAATTCAAGTGATCGTACTACCCAAAGCAATCTCCTGATTCAATGCAATTCTTATCAAAATACCCGTGACATTCTTCTCTGAACTAGAAGAAATAATCCCAAAATTTATATGGAACCACAGAAGACCACTAATAGCCAAAGCAATCTTGAAAAAGAGAACAAAGTTGGAGGTATCAAGCTCCCTGATTTGAAACTATACTACAAAGCTATAATAATCAAAACAGATACACATCAATGGATCTGACAGACCAGAAATAAACCCTTGCTTATATGGTCAACTAATGTATGGCAAAGGAGGTAACAATATACAATGGAGTAAGGGCAGTCTCTTCAAAAAGTGGTATTGGGAAGATTGGACAGATACATGCAAAACAATGAAACTGAACCACTCTTTTATACCATAAACAAAAATAACCACAAATATATGGCCGGAAACCATAAAACTCCTGAAAGAATGCATAGTAAACTATTTGACATCAGTTTGCATAATATCCTTTTGGATACGTCCCCTTAAGCAAGGGAAACAAATGTGACTTTATCCAACTACAAAGCTTCTGCACAATGAAGGAAATCATCAACGAAATAAAAAACCACCTTCTGAATGAGAGAATGTATTTGCAAATGATATATCTACTAAAGAATAATATGCAAAATGTATAAGAAACGCATAAATCTCAATACCCCAAAATAAATAATCCAGTCCAAAAATGCTCAGAGGCATGGCCAGTGTGGCTCAGTGGTTGAGCGTCGACCTATGAACCTGGAGATCGTGTTTCCATTCCTCGTTACAGTACATGTCTGGGTTGCAGTCTCGATCCCCAGAAGTGGTTGTGCAGGAGGCAGCCGGTCACTGATTCTCTCTCATCATTGATGTTTCTATCTCCCTCCCTCTCTGAAATCAATAAAAAAAAATTTTTTAAAAAAGGGCAGAGGACTTGAAAAGAAATATTATCCAAAGAAGACTTACAGATTGCCAACAGACATATGAAGATGTTCAACATCACTAATCATCAGGGAAATGCAAATCAAAACCAAAATGAGATACCACCTCACACCTGTCAGAATGACTGTTATCAAAAAGCATGTATTGGTGAGGATGTGGAGAAAAGAGAACCCTGTGCGCTGTTGATGGGACTGCAAATTGGTGTAGTCACTATGGACAACAGTAGGGAGATTTCTCAAAAATTTAAAAATATATATACCATACAACCTAGTAATTCCAGTTCTGGGTATTTGAAGAAAATGAAACAGTAATTCAGAAAGACATACACCCCAAAGTGTATTGCTGCATTATTTACAGTAGCCAAGATATGATATGATGTCCATTGACAGAAGAATGGGTAAAGACTATCAGGTATATATATATACACACACACATATATAATAGATTATATATTATGAAGCAATAAAAGAATTAAATCTTACCATTTGTAACAATGTGGATTCATCTAGAACATATTATGCTAAGTGAAATGTCAGACAGAAAGACAAATACCTTATGGCTTCACTTATACGTGGAATCTAAAAAACAAAAGGAATAGTTGCCAACAGGGAGGGTGTGGGAGGATAGGTGAAGAAGGTGAAAGGGAATATAATCAATAATATTGTGGTAAGTTTGCACAATGTCAGATTACTGTAATTGGTGGGGTGGTCACATTGTAAGGTATAAAAATGTTGAATCACTATATTGTACCCTCAAAACTAATGTAACTAATATAACAGTGTGCTTACTTTAAAAAGTTAAATTTTTTTCTGTTAAAAGTTTTCTTGGACTATTGGCCTACCCTTGATAAGAGATTATAAAAGTTTATTTACACTTAAGTCATGTATATGGGCAGCAAAGATTTTTTTCTTAAAATAATTTAGTGTGCGTCATGTTGTCTTTATCAGGTCTTTGATTACTTAAGAATATCCAGTCTTTTTAATATATAAAAAGCTAAGTTTTGTTCACTATTGTGTAACTCTATTTGCCTTAAAATAAGGTATTACTTTAAAATGATCTATGATCTTATTTAATAAAATATTCAAATCTTTTGACATTTTTCCCAAATTAAATTATAAATGATGCTTCTCTGACCTCTAACTAACGTTTCAATTTCCTAGAGGGCCCCTGGAAAAATCTTAAAGGATTTGTCTTTCAGCTGGTAAGATATTAAAATAATTATGTTTATTTGATATATTAAATTATATAAGAAGCATTATCAAATAAGAACTGATGCTAAACCTCCTTCAGTTATTTTTGTATATATGCATGTTATTAAAATGTGTTCTAGAAATTTGATAAAAGTCCTAGAAATCGGATATGTCCTGGTATAATGTTATCAGTTGTAATTCCAGATATTATCTTAAAATATTATATATCAATCAAGTTTCCTTGTCAATTCCCTTATAATGAATTCTCATCAGATCTTTAACCAAGGCATTTTTTGTCTTTTGTCTTTTACCTACAGTTATTATTTTACTCTGAAGCTTTGGCAAAAGCGGGATTCATGGAAAGGACCCTACCAAGTACTCTTGGTCACTGACACAGCTGCGCTCCACCTGTGCGAATGCTGCAGGAGGCCTCACAATCAAATCGCCTGGGAAGAGTAGCTAACATCCAGGGAGACTGCTTCCTCCCTATTGTCAGATGAAGGAACGGAAGTCACATTTCTTTCCAGGCCTCCCTCCCCCTCTGACCCTTTTCCAGCCTAATTCTTCGAAGGTCTGTTCAATGTTTTTATCCATCTTTTGCCTTGATATGACCTGGAAATATAATGCTATTGTTCACATATCTCAGGCCGCTGCAAAATGTGTTATTCAACCTCCAAATGATTGTTGGACTTGTCACGGTACTGGTGATCCTGTCGTTTTGCTTGTCACAAAACTTCTCCCTGATTGCCAATGCCTCACTTTCTCTGGAACAAACTCAGTCTCCTTGTTTTCATGTCAGATTCCTTTACCCTGAGTGTTCGTTTTCCTGTCTCTGGTTAACAGCCCGGGGAACCTATATATCCAGGCTCTGTCCTCCACAAAAAAGGGGGTGGGGGCATACAAGGCAAGGGTCAGTGTGCAGACCCTTAAACTTACTGGCCTCCATGGCTGTCGCCTTTCCAGTCCCAAGGCATAGACTCAAATGAGAAGTCTCAGGAGGCATTCATGATTCAAGATGAGCTTCCTCTGGCAGATCCCTACTTCCCTACTTCCCTGGCCAGGAGTAAATGCATGTGAGGCTATGGTCAGGAACTTCTTAACTCTTGAAGATACTGGACAACCTGCTGCTAAAACAAGAGCTGCCCAACAAAAACTCCTTAGACTCTCTGGCCAAAGTTGTTCTTGATGATATGATAGCCCTTGATTCTATTTTAGCTGAGAAGGGAGGTGTTTGTGCTGTGGCCCACACCACTTGGATTGACATTTCTGGGCAAGGTGTGACTCAACTACCTAAGATCACTAACTAAGCCAGTTGGCTTCAAAAAATGACTTTGATTGATGCGGGGATCATGGCTCTGAAGTGCACTCCAGGTGTTGGAATTATCTTGCTTAGGGCATCTCCCTAGTGCACTGTTTTCTCTCAAAAGCTTTAAATGCATGTTCACAGCCACTAATCACCAAGCAAATTATCTCCCTGAAACTGGAACATCAGAAAAGGAACGAAGAGAATGAGTAACTTAAAGAATGTGAGCCCGACATTACGACCAACCTGTGAATACTAGTATATCACACAGAGGTTCAGCAAAAAACAAACAAACAAAAAAAAGTGAGAGCAGAGTAGTAGCTGGGAGCAGCACTAAGGCCTTAAGTTTTGATTACATCTCACAGTTAAGTCTGATCAAAGCGGGGAGAAGGGGCAAATTGTTTAAAAAAAGACAACAGGGCCAAAATGGAGTCACTTATGTTAAGCCTCATGTCACCAAACCAAGACTGAGTTGCAGTTTTTTCCTGGAAATGGAATCTTAAACCAGTCCACCAAGAATCGCCTGATGAGCACTAAGTGAGGGAATCTGCCTGCTAGACCCCTGCCCTCTTCTAGGAAAGTAACCTTGCAACAGCCAACTCACTCTTTGCCAAATATGTCTTTGTCCCTGCTCCCTTCTGCCTACAAGTCTTCCATTTCATCCAGTTTCATGGAGCTCCTTTCTATGCTGCCAGATTCATGAATCACTGAATAAAGCCAATACGATTTTTAAAATATACTCATTTGAATTTTGTTTCTTTTAAAACTTAAGAACCCAGGATGGGAAGGTACTATTTATTGATAAGGGGCCAATATCTAAGAAATTGGATACTGTAAGTTTAATGGGCGTTTTTAAAGTAAAATAATTTTAAAAATAGGCATATGGGTACAACATAAATTCAATCCTTTCTAAATTATTGTGACTTGGAGAAACATGCAAAGGATACTCCAAAAATAATAAAGAGTATTAAATTTTGTTTGTGATTTCTACTTTCAAAAGTAAGAATATATATGTTATTAATCCTCAGCCAAGGATATTTTTCCAGTGATTTTAGAGAGAGTGAAAGGGAGGGAGGGAGGAGAGAGAGAGACATCAATGGGTTGCCTCCCACATGTGCCCCAACCGGGGCTGGGTATCGAACGTGCAACCCAGGTACATTTCTTGACCAGGATTTGAATCCATGATCCTTCAGTGCGAAAGGATATTTTTCCAGTGATTTTAGAGAGAGTGGAAGGGAGGGAGGGAGGAAAGAGAGACATCAATGGGTTGCCTCCCACATGCACCCCAACCGGGGCTGGGTATCGAACGTGCAACCCAGGTACATTTCCTGACCAGGATTTGAATCCATGATCCTTCAGTGCGAGGACCAACACTCTAACCACTGAGCAACACTGGCCAGGGCAAGAATACTTTAATGTTTCTATCAAACAAGTCCCTTTTTAAATTAGAGCTTAAAGACCACTATTTTAAAAGTTTACTTATTTTTCTGAATAAATATTACATATTTATAAAAATGTACACACTAGTACAATGAGGAATTTACTATTCTCAGGAAAGCTTAGGGCTTTAGGTACATTTCTTCCTTAGAACTTCCTTAATTAAAAGAAGTTCATCTCTGAGGTGCATTCATTATAGAAAAAATGGATTCATTATTATAAGTGAAATTTGTATTAAACAGTTTTTCCAAAGAATTGACTACGGTGCTAATAGCTTTGTTTATGTTAACAATAAAATTATCATTTAATGAGAAAGAAAAATTGTAGGTAATTAAAGACCAAAGTAATACACTACATTTTTCAGCAATTAATTGATAACTTGCTTACCATGGACTGTCTAACAATTAACCAGGGAAACATTGCTAGGAAATAGGAAGCATAAATGCAAATAGGTTCTGGATTTATTCTTTTCTAATCCATTTACCATATTATCTAATCTGGCATAAGCAGAAACCCTCCTGGAAAGATTAATATTCAAGAACACCTCTGAAACTTCTGGTTTAGTTAGCCCTAATTGTTTTGGCAACAGAAGTTGTTAGAGCAAGGAGTTTCTAGGGATAGTTCTCATCCATCACAGGAGTCTGAACAAGAAAAGGAGAAAAAAGAGTTTTCTAGATATTGCTCTGTGTGTTATGGATTGGCAGCTCTCAATAATGTTCTTGATCAGGGTGAATATTGATGTATACATACTCACATACCCACAAGTGGCTGGGGCCATGTGTGGTTACAGATGTCATATCTAAATACCACCACCATGAACTAAATTATAGAACAATCAACCTGAATAACCAACGGAAGACTAGTTGAATAGACATCTTATAACCAATGTTCTATAGAAAAAGCCACTTCAAGAAGGGCGAGTTGCGAGCTAAAATTCGGGTTACGAGCCAGCTTCAGATACCCCACCGCTAGTTGGCGCAGTGAACGTCACAGTGAACGCCACAACATCAGCCCAGCATCACGTGTCTCACTCGTTCACTTTAAGATTTGACATATGAGTAATTTGAGTTATGAGCTCCGTCACGGAATGAATTAAACTCGTAAGTCAAGGCCCCACTGTATAGAACAATCAACCTGAATAACCAATGGAAGACTAGTTGAATAGACATCTTATAACCAAGGTTCTATAGAAAAAGCCACTTCAAGAAGGGTGGAGACGCAGAAAGGGAGGGCCCCATACCCACGTGCTTCTGCTAAGAATCCGGAGGGATATCTGAGCTGCAGAAGTCCCCCTTGCAGAACATGGGTTCTCAACCCCATGCTGGGCTCCCTGGCCCAGAGCACCAGAGCCAGGAAGAGGCACCCACATAACATCTGGTTGTGAAAATCACCTGGGAATCTGTCTGCTAGAAACCCAGGTGCCCTATTAAAGGGCCAATGCACAAAATCTCATTCACAGCCACTAACACTGGGCTCCGGTGGAGAGAAGGTGAATCAGAGCAGACTGTAGTCATGTGAGGACAGACTGGGTTGTATGCCTCTAGGGAAAAAAAAGAGCTGAAGAAATAGCCACCAGGGTCCCTGCGCCGAGTCCCTTGCCCTCACTGCCCATATCCCACTCTCCCAGCCCCCTGTTGCCCCATCCAGCCAAGCTCATGCCCTGCAGAGGAGTCTGATTCCTGAGGCTTTGTGAGGGATCTTGAGGGCAAATACAAAAGAGTCAGACAATTGTGTGGATCTGGGGCAGGGGCCAATTCCCTGCCCCCACCACCTCCCAGAGTAGCAGTGCCCCACACCCATAGGAGGTCTACCAGCCCCCGCAGGGGAGAACCACTAGCCCCACCCTCCTGACACCTGGTGGCCCTGCCCTGATCAGCTTGCACTCTACAGTACTGTCAGTGGGCTGTGCCTGCCTGGTTCCATGGTGCAAAAGACTCTCCAGGAGATGTGCACTCTGCATACCCTCTTCCATGGTGCTGAAGTCTTTCCAGGAGATCTGGGCAGTCTCTGAGAAAAACTGGATTGTATGGCTCTTGGGCGGGTCTATTCTTCCCTTGCATACCAGCCCGGCTTCACTGTTCCTGAGCAGAGCCGTCCCTTCACATGGCCAAATCTTGGTCTGTTTGGG